AACACCAGTCGTACGAAGTCATATGTACAATCTTGCAAGGAAAAAAACCAGACGTCTCCAGCCGTCAAACGGTTTCGTTTGTATGACAACTATATGGGGTAGTACTGAAGAAAGAAGCTGAAAAGAGACTACATATTTCGGATCCGGATTCCAGACTCCACGTCTGACATATTTGACCAAACAGAAGTACCGTTAAAATGAGCGGAAAATGGTAATTTTAATGGTATCAACGGTTGGTCACTGGACTAATGATAGGCTCAAAATATATATAAGGAAGGGGGAACCCCAAAGTGAAGTAAGAAGAACTTTGGTACATCACTCATCAAGATCTCTCCCAATATGCTACGTTTTCATACGTACCGCATACCGTTCTATTTGCCTTTCAACGCACTACGTAACTAGGTAACAGTGTCCTCCGACGCCTACCAAGCTAGCCTGTTCTTTGATATTCTAAGGGAGGGTAAATTTGATCTTATTATTCATCTGTAATCACTACCATCCTCACCCTCATTTGATCTAGGAAGGAAATGTGGGAAGGCATAAAAAAGATGACGACGTTATAGCCTTTGTGAGGGGCACAGCGGATTCTCATTCACAGTTCGTCAGAATAGACACTTAATGCAGCTGGCGAGAACACGTTTTATAACTTATTCACAGAAAGACATCCAGCTGTTTTTGTTCCATGGTTAATACCCATTGCGCATTCCTTCAATACACATCCCACTTTCCGCCAAGAGAAGGAGCCAAAGGTAGAGGGCCAAAAAGAGAAGGAACAAAAAAAACAAAGACATACAACACCAGGTTATTCGCCGGTCGTCACCGATCCGACTACTAGTCTGGCGGTCACTGGCTTATCAATGGGAGATCAGACGGGATCCCGAGTTCTCCAAGTGCCTATGGTCGTATGTAAATGCTGTTGTTTCTGTTGCTGGAGAGTGGGTGTTGGAACTCCGCTCGTTCGTTATGTAGAGAGATACAAGATCTGGTAGGATGGTGTCTGGTGTTGATAAGGTCAGGGGGAAATAAACAGCAAATAGCAAGTATGATACCTTATGGAGTTGTAAATAAGGAATCGGTACGGACAGTCATTTAGCTTATGGACACAACGCCGTTCCAGTTTACAGATATACCTCTATCATCAATTCCCGTCTCTCACAAGGAGAATTCTTGAAATACCCACCCAAAAGGATCACTTCCTAGTTGCGGCACTGACTGACAGTGAGGATATCCAGCAAACATCAACATTCCTCCCCGTCCCATCAGGCACCCCGTACTTAGAAGTACTTATGAACCTCCCGCTCCTTTCCAACTTGATCCTCTTAACAAACGGACATATAAGCTCCTTAATGGGCATCTACGATCGCCGACAACGCTGGGTCGCTAGCGTAACGGTCTACCGTTGTAAAAACTCAAACCTCCCTGGCCCCGAAATACCTACCTGTTGGTTCGGGAACGATGATGTATATTTAAGTAACTCAAAAAGGCTCCACGTCGTTAGGCCGCGTCCACTTGAAAGTTAATCATAAGCACAGAGCATAGGTGGTAGGGACAGCGTTGAGGCGGTTAACAGATGTATGCTGTTTGGGTGCGCGGTTATTGGGCTTCTTTTTTAAGGTATATTTTCATATCCTCATCGGAGCTGAGGGAGCAGATGGGTAAAGGAGACAGAGGTCGTGGGGTTCAAATGATGACATGGTCTTTCTTTTTTTTCACTTCTTTTTCTTGTTTTTGTCAATGTTCATGTTTTAGTGAGTCCAGTTATGATCTCGATAGCTACTTTGAGACGCAACGTGAACGCCCGGCGAGTGTCCAAGTGTGGCAGGGTCATTGTGTCTTTTTCTTTTTTCCCGGATATATTATGATGACGCTGAGTGGCATGCACTTCTTCCTTCTATGTATTCTTCGAGCCCAAACTCCAGACGCTCTCTATCCCAATAGCATCATACCTGATTCAAAGTCCTGACTACCTCAGATGACTAATCCGTCTTCGGTGGCTTAGGCCTGGGAGCCTTGATAGAGAATAGCACGACATCGTACTCCTCGGGTGTCTCCTCTTCCTCCTTCTCTACCTCCTTCTGACCCTTACCACCATCCTTCGCCTCTTTATTATCCTTATCTCTCGCTGGCTTCCTGATCTCATCTCCATCGGCGTCCAACGTAACCACGACGTCCTTCGTGTCCAAACTCCCGTCCTCGGTATAGCCCCACACATCCTTGAGTTCCCTGCGAATCAGACCGGTCAGCCAGACGGACCCGGTAACGCAAGGGACCAGGTACAGCAGCGCGGGCTGTCCGTTGTTGAACACCTGGAGCATCGTCAAAGTGAAAACCATGCCCAAGGCATAACCTGCTACCGAAGCGTAAAAGTAGGGCTTGGGAAAAGCAGTTGCAGCTCCGACCGCGCCACATGCTGGGTTTGGCATCAGGTTGCCCAGCTTGGTGGTCCAGAAGCGGTTGCCCCATTGACCTTCGGATTCCACGAATGGTGCTTTGGTTCGTCGGAAGTGCATTTCGTTCGTCGAAGTAGCCACTTGATCCGTAGATGAGGCCTGCCTGGAAGACGCATCAATAGGCTGGTATTGGATCTGTCTCTTGTAAAACATATACAAGTCGAAGCGAAGGGCGAGTGCCATGACCAAGCCAGGAACAACAATGTCTCCAAGTCCCAGCATGCTGAAGCCGGAAGAACTCTTGAAAACCAGCTTAATTGGGGCGTCAACCTTTTTAGCAACAGTGATCATGAATGGACTGTAGAAAACGAATTAGCAACTGGTTAGCTGTCTTGGCTGGGGGATAGGTGGAGACATACGTGTAAAACACCATGACGATGTCATAGAAGAAGAGACCCCAGAGAACAGCGGTGCCTATACCAAAAGACGTGGGCGAGAGCATGCCAAAAGCAGCGTAGCACATGGCAGCCCCAAGAATGTTGGAAAGGACATGCCACTGAACAAGGTGATAGGCAGTAGTTATCGCGATTGAGACCAAGAATCCAAGTAAATGGTTGAACTTGATCTGCGACTTGAAAGAGCCGACGCCATGGGCAGCAAGGCGGACTGTCCACTTCTCCGTAAAGAGGTGCCGAATCTCCCAGGCAAGTCTGTTGATTCCAGTAGGCAGGCGAACCATGGAAAACACACCGGGGAAAGGCGACTTCTTGTCGGTGATCATGGCCTGGTTCGTCGTTGGGTCAACTAGTACCTGAGAGCGGCGTTTCGGATCAACGTAGTAGAGTCTGTTGCTGCGATCTGACCATACACTTGGGAAAATCAAGCTGGTGAGAATCTCTAAGGCGTCCCCGGACAGCTTGCCGAGGCCGGCGATGCCAGCGAAAGACATGTAACCTCGCAGTATCTTGTTCAACAGGTTGGGATCCTTAAGCCACTCCAGCAAATAGTAGAGCCCAATGAGAACAGCGCCGGCCAGAATGGGAAACATGATGGCATCAGAGGCAGTCAATCCTTCAGTGAACTGCTCGTCTTCCTTTGACTTCTTCTTCTTGTCCTTGTCTTCGGACTCTGGTGGGGCAGCGGAGGGAGGTCGGCGGAGGGAACCATGAGCACCAAGCCATATTACAGTCAAGGCGCCGAAGATAACCTGAGCATCGAACCAAAGAACTTCTGGCCTAAGGAGCATCTCCCAATGAAAATCATATGGGGTGGCCTCTGGGACCGGAGATGGAAGGGTAGTACCTGTCGCGTTGACGGCCGAAGCTTCAGGAGAAGCCATGGTGATATCCTAATCGACTCGCGATACTCATGCGTCTCTATTTGCCGTAATCTGTGGTTTTGAACAAAATATGGACACCGAGTATCGAATGCTTTTTGTAGCAGTGAGGAAGATGAGATAATGCCGTCAACGTGGGATGTTGGGTTGGCGTTGAGATAAAGCTGCGTGTCCAACCTGCCCGGCCTTGGGTTCCACAATTAGGTTCCAGGTTGTTGTCGGGTTGACTGTCACTGCAGCTGCAAGTTACAGGGCTGATATGAGTATTTATAGTGGTTACACGCTAATTTTTTTGCAGGGACAGAGCCATCTCCGCTTGCCTGCCCCACTAATTTGCCACATCCGGGCCGCCCTCTAGGAATTGTTAGTGCAACAAAACAGTCTCGCCTTCCTTCCGGGCACTCACCGTTGAGGCTTTCGTCCAACACAACGACCATTTAAGACATCGGGTACCATACTACACAGCCACTGCTCACGTCTACTTGTACTGCCCATCGCATTCACTTGACGAAGAGGCGCAAACATCTAGACACGTTCCTAGGGCTCCAGCTCATTCACAGATTGCAACACTGTAACAAACACTCGTTTTTTACGTCATGGCATCCGATCCCATGTCAGTAAACAGTTCAGCAAGGGAGCCACCTGCGCCTCCGGGGTCAGGGGCAGACGAGCCCAAGTATGGAGGATATACACGGTTCGAACTTGAACTGGAGGTAGGCTTCATACACATCATGATCCGGCGTGCGTGGTATTAACAGAACACTCAGTTTGTTCAAGCACTTGGCAACCCGCTGTACCTGAACCATCTTGCGTCCAGGAAGCTACTCAGCAATCCTGCTTTCATCGCCTACCTCGACTATCTCCAGTACTGGAGCCGCCCACCTTACCTCAAGTATATCACCTACCCTGGGCCTACCTTGAAGAACCTGGAGTTGCTGCAGCAGGAAAAGTTCAGGCAGGACATCATCAGCCCAGACCTGGTCGAGCGTCTCAGGGTAGAGGGCATGAAGGCCGGAATCGACTGGCATCGAGAGAGTTTTCCAAGCACGGCATAAATTGCATGGCTAGAATGATGCCATGGATGGAAATGAGTGGGGAGTAACCTTTAGCAGGCCAGTACCGCACAACTTGATTCTGATGAAGAATACCTCACATGCAACAACACAAAAACAAAAGCAAAACCCAACGCCAAGCAATGCACCCAATACCATGTATTGATGATCCGACCAGACCTGTGCTGAACATGTCTTGTTCATCTAATTGTTGTCTCTCCACCTGTGCCCGCAAGTCATACACTACGAGATATGTTAGCTTCTTACTTTATCCCATAAGTCTGTAATCCCCTTCTTACCTTGTAGAACGTCGTCATCGGTTCATCAGCACTACGAATCTGAACCTGGAAGAAGGCTGCCTCGTTGCCATTGCAAGTTCCGCTGTCACACTGGACCTTGCCCTTTTGTGCATTGTCCCAAGCGCCTGGCCCACCAAACACGTCTTCCTTCTCCTTTCGCGGGAAGTTCTTGCGGGAGTAGATGGGCTTGTCGATGGGGTGTTCGTAAGGACAGGTTCTGCACTCGAGCCTGTTGCCACCCGTGTCCGCTCGGGAGAGGATGAGGAGGTTGGCGCAGAATGGGCAGACTGTGGTGGGCGTTTAGTTCCGGCGTCCTAGCCTTTGTGGGTGGATTTCCACTTACAGACGATAGGCATGTTTGCTTATTGATGAAGGGACTGGATTTGTTGTGTGTTATCGTCCGTTATGAATAGCAAGTGAGATGAGTCGAGCGGTTGCCAAAAATCTTGTTGACGATCCTGATGAGAAGAGGCGTCGCCGTAAGTTGGTACCTTTTGTGACAACAGCTGGCCAAAACCGATGTGTGTCTATCACTTGCTGGGTTTTAAGGTAGTGATATAAGTTCTTAAAGTGTAAATAGTCAATGTAGGGGCGAAGGCCTGAAAAAAAAAAGTGTTACAGCTCGATGCGGTCCGTTAATTCTATAAACCTTAAATGTAGCGCTTGAATTTTCATTGGTCAGATCTGCATCATCAACTGCCCCACACTTGGTCAGCGGTGCCTGGACCCAACGGCCCTTTCTGTTGTGCCTGTGCTAAGGTACCTAGGTACGTACCTACCCACTGACATGCAGCTGGGCCTCAGCGCATGCCATCTGAATGCCAGCGTCCTGATCGGGCCCCGCAAGGAGCCGACCATTCTGTAACACCAAGGGAAGACGACACTGCCACTGCCACCTCCTAACCAGCCCGTTAGGTAATGCTTCCCGTCCTTCATACAACAACCACCACCACGACTGGAGATATCTCGTAGAACACAGTACACTGTACCCTACAAACAGTCGTTCGCCGCCCTCTTATTACCCCGAAGATCTCTCATTGAGCGTTACGCGATCCCGATTCTTTTATAGGAATCGACCGATTACCTGATTCGACAGCCTGGCCACTTCCATACCGTACATCCACTCTCCCCCGCCGACCCATTTCCACGATTCCCGCTCGTAATTAGCGATTCCAGGCCAATCTTACCTCTCTACTTTGGACAACTCTCGCCGTCATCCCTCTTCGCTTTCACCGTCGTACTTGTGCTTCTTCCTGCAACCAAGAAACATCACCTGCCGTTTCCGAGACAACCACAAGTGACCTACCAGTAACCATGGCCGGAAAGGACGAAGAACACGAGGTTCGTACCACACAAGCGCCCTCTACCCACAACTAACACCCTCTCTTCTCTCCCCCGTTTCACCCGCCCTACGTCCTCCCGCGCAAACAACTAGACTACTACAGACAACCCCAGCTAACCCTTCCTTCTTTCACTCCCCAAAAAACAGGGTGCCTCCATCTCTGAGCAGCTCATTGAAGCTTGCCGGCGTAACAACACTGACCTCCTCTCGGAAATCCTCGCCGACAAATCCGACGAAGAAATCTCCTCCCTTTTGAACAACACGACCACCGTGATGGGCAACCACCTCTACCACGAAGCCGCGCTCCGTGGCAACTACGAGATAATCGACATGCTCCTCGACCAACCAGGCTTTGAATGCGATCCCGTCAACCGACTCGAGGGCGACACCCCGCTGCACAGCGCAGTCCGATGGATCAACAGCGAGCCGGAAGCGCAGCGCGAGTTCGGCAACGAGCTGGTGGACATGATGCTGGAGGCCGGGTCGAACCCGCGCGTGAAGAACAAAGGCGGCTTGACGGCGTTGCAGTTGGTGGATCCGCGGAACAAGGGGCTGAGGGAGCTGATACAGAAGCACGAGTACGCCCTGCTCAACGCGGGCGATTTTGTGAGTGCGGAGAATGTCAAGCCACAGCAGGGCCAACAGGCCGTTTTGGATGTAGAGGAGGAGGATGAGGATGCTGAGTTTAGTGGGAGTGATGATGAGGAAAGAGCTGAGTGGGAGAGGAGGAGGGCGGCAAGGAAGTGAAGGGACTCACAGGTTTAACAGGGGACTTGGTGAGACTCCCAGAGAGCCATGTCTAGATACCCGAAGAGACACCACAACATTCATTCAAGGTAGCAGCTCTGTGGAAGCGTGGACCGAATAGCGCCGCTAGTGTCTAGGCTATTTCTTACGGCCCCTCGATATAAGCTAGCATGGATATCTAGCTGCACTACGGTTAGATTTATGCTTTGTGCTTGTTGCAGCATGTAAAGCGAGCGATATCACTAAAGTCTAGAGCGGAGCAAGTGTCATTAACACCGTTAGAGAAACTTGAGTTTTTAGATCAATAGTTAATCAAAATAAAATATACCTAGTCTTACTTGACTCCATGGACCACAGAAATGGGCTTGTTACATTTCAAGTATTGTTGACTTTCACCAAAAAGCCACCTCAGGAGAGGCAAGTATTGGTTAGAAAGAGAGTGTTTAAGGATATAAGCCTAGGGTAGGTGGTACAAAACAACGTCTATCAACCCTTAGTTCACATCCTCACGAAACTGTTATTCATCCAGCATGTAGTACAAAAACTCGATAGGTACGAGAAGGATAACCAAAGCCCAGAAGGAAAAAAGAAGAAGAAAAAAAAGTCTGGTTGAACGCCAGTTCACCAAGAAGATAGGGGTATAGTATCAAGTCAATAAAGGGATCTCCAACCCGCAAAACCCAGCCCAAAAGGTAAAGAAAACCATCAGCACCAGAACACCATCCACATCCACATCAAAGCCACAACACCGAAAACCACAGCGCCAGGCCGCTGTACCATCCCCGCGCCACTCAAGTCCTTCGAGTTTGCACTTTCGATATATGTCCGATTCCGGACCCTCTCCAAAATCTCTCTTGTTAGTCCCCCACCACTGGCTATCGTTCTCAACTCCTCTCCAAAGATCCTCAGAATATTCGTGCTTCTGCCCCTCGGACAAAACACCACCTCCCACCCACCTCCATTGGGAATAATGAATGTGCTGGTCTGGTCATCAAACGCATAGCTGTACGCATCCGGACACACCGTCTTCGCGTTCTCGCTGTACAGACTCGGGATACAAACGCTCGGATCGTCGTACTTGCCCGTGCAGCAGTCTTCGGGATTCCCCGTCGCCGCGCAGGCCGACAGGCACGGGTCGAAGACGGGGCGCTGGATCGAGTCGTCCGGGTACGGGTAAATGCCGTCGCCTGGCTTTGAGGGCGGGTATTCTTGCAGGTCCCAGGGACACCAGCCGCCGACCGAGGGGTTGGTTTGGTCCGATTCCCAGGGAATGGGGAAGGTCTTGTTAGTGTAATAGAGCCCTGATCTAGAGGGCGGGTCGAGAAAGCCGGCTGAGGCGATACAGACACAGTTGGTCAGATTCGGGGGGATCCAGGTTGTGTTGGCGGCGGGGATGTAGATGATGCCGAGGGGCAGGTTGTAGCCGTCTACGAGGGAGATATCGTAGAAGGTCTGGTCGGAGTTTATCCCGCCGAGCAAATTGAATTCGGCGAGGGTTACTGGGACTTGACCCTGGTGTGTTGCAGATTGTGTGAGTGAACACTGAGTGACTGACATGGGTAAGCGTAGTGGGCAAAAGAAAAAAAACTTACCGTAAACTCGCAGTTAAGCCTGCCAAAGCAGTCTCCAGTCATGCAAGCTGCTCCATTTCCATTCACGCCATTTAGGTTGCTCGGCCCCGTTCCGTCGTTGTTGAACGAGCAGTTGGTCCGTCCCCATACTCTGCCTTGCCAGTCAGGGCTGACAAACAGTGGCTTCGTCTCGCCAGGAGTAAGCTCGAAGCCGCCAACTTCAGGTCCGATGCCATTCTGCGTACCAATTCCGGGCCATATCGTATCAGGGCAGCTGTTGGTGATGACGAGAGGTATAGGGGTCGGGTTTGGCGGGGTCGAGGTCGGATTCGAAGTGCCCTTTATACTAGAGCTACGGGGTATAGGGACAGAGGAAGCGATCGATGTTGGGTCGACAGCGGGAGGCGGCTTCGACGTAGGAGTAACAGCAGGAGGAGATTTCCAAGTGGGACTCACAACGGGAGCTTTTGAGACCAACGTTGTAGGTAGACGAGTTGGGTCGAAGCTCTGGGCTGCCACGCCGGTGGTCTGTTCATGGAGGATAAGTAGGAAGCCCAGAGCACCTCTCATAAAGCATCCGAGACTGCCCCCGCGAGTTTGTTTGTAGGTGGCGGGCGAGTGACCTTCGATATCTGGTGTTGGTTTTCGGATACCCTTCTGACCAGGCGCTATGATGATAGGTGACTTTTCGGTGACCATGGTGGTGTCCGTCTTCTCGAGCGGTCACCAAGAGAAGATGGTGTGGCAAGCAAAGGTAAAGCGGGTAGGATGATGATGCTCTCTGTCTCTGTGAGTATTTGCTAGTAAGGCGCCTTTGATGATATGGCAAAAGGAATACCCAAAATTTCCCTTGCGGAAGAAAACCAAGGGAAAAAAAATCACACCAGATGAGAGAAGGGAAGCATCAAAACGACAGACAAGGCATGAAGGGTATAGGGCTATTTTGGAGATCTAGAGAATTGCTGTGAGGTGTACGATTTGAAGTGATTATGAAACTTGTGCAGGTTGAAAATGGGTGACTGAAAAGGAAAAGACAAGTTCCAACTTGAGTTCATATTGACTGAAGCTTGATACCGCCATCTGCTCTGAAGAACTGATGATATCATGGCAAGAGATTGCTGGGCTAAGGGAGCTGTCAGGAAGTGACGACGCATGATTCGCCGTTGTTTGATGCGGTGGCCATCCTCCTTTACCACAGACGCCGAATGAGAAACTTGAAAAGGAAGTCATTGCCAGGGTAATAAACACACACTGACGCACGGATGGTTAAAGCTGGACCTTCCTTCATCTTGATCGGTACCATCCCGTGTGCCATGTGCCATTGACGTTGAGAAGTACCCTTGTCACACCTTTTACTAGACCTGGGTCGCACGGACCTCGTCCAGTTTTCATATTCTCACAGAATGCCACTCGCGAACCCCGGATTTACCAAGCTGGCTAGGGACAGGCACAGGCACAGGGACCGTTAGGTGGGGGCTTGACGTTGTTCGGTTCCACTATTAGGGCATTTTCACGTGCTGAGGCCTTGACCGTGGATCGGCCCCAGAAGACAACTAACTTGAACTCTCCCTAACAGGTGGGAAAAATAAGAACATATACACTTTCTGAAGGATAAATCAGATATTATCTGTTTTAATTCCTATCTATTGCACCCTTACTCACTCGTGTTTCCCTGAGGCATCCAATCGATCCCTATCTTTTTCTCAGCAATACCTCATCCTTCGTTAGAATGGTGGTCAACTCGCCTGCTGCTTCGAGAACAATCCGCTGTCATGCTACGTTAAAAGGTATCATTCAAGATCCGACATGAGAAGTTAAGAGAAAAAGAAAGAAAGAAGATAAAAGAACTGTCACCCCATCTACATTGATGTAACTCCCCTTTTACCTGAACCTCGCGCGGCAGCGGCCCATGACCTCTCCTTGGCACACCAGCTCAGCGCTAAATTCGGAACCGTCCAAAGTGAGATAGATATCGAAATAGACACGGTAGAAGGTACCCTGCGGTGTATCCATCCGTTCAAAATCCTTTTCAAGGTTCTTGCGCGACAGATCCGACGTGAGCGTTACCACTTCCTTAATCCCTGTTTCGACATTGTCAGTCTTGATTCATGATCAAACAGTAGAAAGGATGACTCACTTGGATCTTTAGTATACTCCGGGCAGACATCATCGTCGCAGGCATACAGGATATCTTCGTACATGAGAGTAGCACCGGGTGCCACTTGACGGAAGAAGGAAACCTTGACCGGCTCGCCGATCTTGACCTTCTGTCCCTTCTGGACAAATATCTGTCGCGTGAACTTGCAGCGATCCTTGCCATCGAGTGAGGGAACACGATACGCCTCAGGATGGTAACCCTCCTTGAAAGGTTGGAGGGTGGCCATGAGGTAGTGGCGACGAGCGACACGATGAGTGATAACTCTTTCAGTGATACCAGCCGTGACGGCACCCTTGACGATAGCAGCGACCGAGTCCATGGGACGGACAACCTTGGACTGAAATTGCGGGGGAACGTGAAGCTTGATCTGCTGAAAGAGGTATTCCGACGCACCGAAACCACCAACGACAAGGATGTTCTGCAGTGTGCGATTTTGTGCTTGAATGGCAATGATCTGGTTTCTGACAAGCTCCAAGATACGGTTTACTACCGGCTCGAAGCATTGTAGAATCTCCTCGTTTGTAAACGTCATATAACCTTCTTCGATGCCTGCTTCAGGGAATTCAGCTTCGATACCAACGTCGACAGCCCACTTCTGACCGTTATTCCGGAAGTCGGCCTTGATTCGGTTTTCAAAGTCCATGATGCACTTGGCGTAGACGCGACCGGCAGTCTTGGATCCATCAGGTAGCCTCATCTTCCTAATCTTTGTCCGCAGAATGTTACTGAAGTTGCGGTTAAGAGCAGTCGAACCGCACGAGTCACCAGAGCCAGCGGTGCATTCTGCCACGGTGAACGGGTTCTCGTCCTCGACTTCATACGCGATCAAATCCACCGTTCCACCACCACAATCGACAATGAGAACCGCATCGTGTACCTTGAGGTTCAAAAGGCCCGTCTTGGAGCAGAAGAGAGCTGCGGCTTCGGGCTCACTGACCAGCGTAAGACGGTTGTCGTTCTCATCGCGGAGGAAGCCAGCCTGAATGGCAGCAGCTCGCGTCGCGGCCTTTCCAGCATCGTTCCAGATAGCAGGGACCGTAAGATAGTAGCGGATGTTCCTCTCTTCACGGTTGAAGACTTCACCCAGAGTCTTCAGGAGCGCGGCGCGCATGGCCTGGCGGAGCTTAAACAGATAGTCGGCCGCGACATCGATCTCTGACTTTCCAGGTGGAAGAGGCGGCAGGTTAATGGGATCGATATAGGTGTTGCCGGACAGCATAAGCTGGAGCTTGAACCACTCCACTTTTTGCACGCCAGGTTTTGGGTAACCAGTTGGTGCTAGGGCATCCGCAATGTCGGGGCCCCATCCAACAACCTTCTGGTACTGGTCATAGTAGAGGACGGTGGGGATCTGCACGAGAGTATATTAGTTTGATGGTTCATGCGAATAAAACGCCAACAATGGGAGGTCAGCGAACCTTTTGCTTTGTGTAAGAGCCTGCGCCGGGCCACTCTGTAATGATGTCCTCCTTGGCCTCATTGTTGGTTGCGAAAGCAAAAGCGACACCAGAGAAGGTGGTACCCTATGATTACCAGGTTAGCAAACGGCATGAGGAGACTAGTCTGGATGTATAAGACTTACAAAGTCGATACCAACAATGAGCTGAGCCTTG